CACCCCATTCACTAAACTAAGGGGAAACTTCCCATGCAAAGTGCAAATTCCCTTGCAAACTGAACAGCCTATTTGCCTTCAGTAAATGAACCCCATTATTTCAGATTAGCGTTCAGACTTTATACAGCCCTGGGTTCTCCTGTTCCATCTGTTGAAAAACATTTTAATGTAACTGAAGTCATGAGATGATCTCTATCCAGTCCTCATGTCGAAGGACACTAGTCCACCTCTACAAACATTCCCATCTGCCTGATATTGGGGAAAACAGAAACGAAGACTACCGCCAGTCATTCAACTGTCAATTGCCAAAGTTTCTACTGCCCACTGAGTGTCTGCCATTTGATACGTGAATGGTAGAGAATAGGGCTTAGTAGCAGGAGGGGATGGGGTTATTCCTGACTGGAAAAAAGTCGAGGTTGTGCACTTGTGTGTACAACCCGGATAAGTCTACAAGATGCTGCTCTTCAGCACTGTTGTCAACGTAGTCCAGGTCAGGTACAATGCAATGTGGAATCTGAGATGCAGACAAAAACTGCCAGACCTGCCTAGTGGTCAAGTAGCATATACGTCATGCACTTTTCCATATTCTGCATATGTAGGGTGTAACCATAAAGAATAATGGCCATAGAATGTATATACCAGGGTCAGCCATCATTCTCTATTGCTGGATTCAGCACATGTACAAGCAGCCTGCAAGGAAGTATTGATGGAGTAAATGTTGTCCAGCCGCTGAGATGCATGTGTCGTCTAATTTTCATTATGAAGGGACAGGGTGGGTGAGGGGGTTTCTGTTTATCCAATTCCCCTTAAAGTACAGATACCTTTAATAAGTACTCTTGACAATAGCTTATAACAAATACTTGTGAATAAAAGTCCTTTGATCTATGGGAAACGGGAGCCTTGCTGCTTGAACCAAGGCTGGGTGATGGGTGTTCCTATGTAAATCCCCCCCATTCTTACCTGATTTATTATGCAGTAGATTTGCCTGTGTAATCTGAGGATGGGGATTATTTTTGAGCCCTATTAGCCATTTGATGTGGAATGTATTCCTTGTAATGTTATATTAATGTGTATTTGGAAATCAGAGAACCCAATCACTGCAGTATTTGGGAGGAAGTAATATCATACATCATATCAAATGTGAATGGGGTGAGGAGTGTTGTCCTGAAGTTGTGCCAGCCACTGGAAAAGTCCCCATCCGTCCTCCCCGTTTTATTTGCTGGCTATGCTTTATAGGTGGCTTTTATTTTGCAAGTATTAACATGGTTGCTGTTCTATGTCCTCTATGAGTTTTTGGTTAGCTGGAAGTCCGTCTGGACCTTGCAGTTAAAGGGTTTATAAACCCTAACAATTAACTGTTCTTATTTGGTAAGTCACATATACCATTCGAAGTGTTATGGTATATCTGTTCGATAGGTACAAAATACTTGTTGTTCCTGCCTGAAATCTTGCCAGCTGATAACTTCTTATGCTCTATTACTGTGCTGCACTCTTATCAGTTACATTGTTCCCAATTATCTCTGAGGACTACAGAACCCCTCCACTTTATGTAATGTAGAAGAGGAGGAAGCGAGATTTGTAGTCCCCATCTATGGTGACAATGCTACTTCTCCATAGATAGTGTTGTCACTAGGGATGCACCGATACCGGTATTTCGGTATCGAGTACAAGTACCGATACTTTTTCCGGTACTCACCGATACCGAATACCGGAAGTCCCATTCAGGAAGCCAGGCGGCGTGTAATGACTCGCCACCTGGCTTCCTAATTAGCAGGGAAGCCGTCCCCATGCTTCTCGTCACTAGGTGACGAGAAAGCATGGAGCCGACTTTCCGTCCAATCAGGAAGCCAGGCACCGTGTAATGACGTGGCGCCCGGCTTCCTGATTGGCCGGGAAGCCAGCTCCATGCTTCCTCGTCATGAGGTGACAAGGGAGCATGGAGCCGGCCTCCCGGCCAATCAGAAGACTGGGTGTCGCGTCATTACACGGCGCCTGGCTTCCTGATTGGCCAGCTTCCCGACCAATTAGGAAGCCGGGCAGCACGTCATGACATGCTGCCTACGATAATACGAAATCACCTGCACTCCATGCAGCGTACAGACCTTGAATAAGAGGCTGGTGCTTGAAGTGACAACACGGATGGCGCCGTGTCAGATACAGTCCATAATAGCAGTCACCAGCACTTGATGATATGTGCAAGAAGTAAAGCACTTTTTATTCAATTGTCACATGCGCCAAACAGCCTAGTTTCGGGGCAACGCAGGGTCCTTTCTTCTGGGCGACATAGTGACCCATAGGTGACAATTGAATAAAAAGTGCTTTACTTCTTGCACATATCATCGAGTGCTGGTGACTTCTATTATAGAATGACACAATGCCTGGCTTCCTGATTGGCCGGGAAGCCGGCTCCATGCTCTCTCGTCACAAGTGACGAGAGAGCATGGAGCCAGCTTCCAGGCCAATCAGGAAGCCGGGCAGCGTGTCATGACGTGCTGCCCGGCTTCCTGATACCGGAAGTATCGGGCTAGGCATCGGAGCATTTTGGGCAAGTACGAGTACTCGCCCAAATACTCTGCATCAGCACTGATACTAGTATCGGTATAGATGCATCCCTAGTTGTCACCCTAGGGCAGGATATGTGGTACTGGCAAGATCACCAGATGAAAATAAAGAGAAAAAAGCCTAAAACTATAGCTAATGAAGTCACCGCATCTGAGGGCTGGCAAGCTGCAATATATCAAAATTTTGTTCTTGGGTTTAGATTTGCTTTAAGACAGGTGTTTAGGCTTGCCTATAAAAATTGGGTACTCACAATCCATAATAAATGTAATTTGCTGGTTTGTTTGCATGATGACATAAAGTTGCTGTTCTAGTCTTGCTCTTTTAACATAAGGATTATTCTACTGATATTTGGGGAAAAGAAAATCTATAGTTTTTGGGTACTGGGAATCTGTGGCTGATGTATGCCTATGCTTCTCAGCAGTCATGAAAGTAATGATTTCCTTACCTTGCAGTATGACAGTCTCACCAGCGATGTGATTGACAGGGAACATGGCGTCAAATATATCACTGAAAGAGACAAGGTAGATATAAGCAATTTGTAAGAGAGATGCAGGTTTATTCAATATGACAGACTGTCTATAAACCTAAAACATATTATGCAGGCTGACTCTTGTTTACTTCCTAATAAGCAAAACTGAGGCTTGATGAAAATCTCAGAATGCAGATCCCTGTGCCATTCTGCCGAGGCTACGAATTACAAGGCATCCTCTGTAGCATACACATGAAACTCAAACCTGATACGTTCTGCTCATATCTCTCATATCTTTAAGGAGTCGGAAGACGTTTTCGAAATAACTGGAAGGATTGTGTCAGGTTCCAATAAGGATGTGCACTCATGAACATTCCTCTGAACACACAATAATGTCTGAAGCTTTAACAGTTACCAGCACCCAGGGGAAACATTTCCATCATGGATAAAACAAAAACCACTCTAAAGAAGGGACAAGGCCTGAAACATGTCTGTTTTAGTGCAGGTACTATTATTACCAGGATCTAGCATACTTTATTGGTCTCCTTCTCATTACCTGCTTGGGATGTTTTTTTGGAATCACCTTCCATTTGGTCCTTCCAGTGTCTACCTTATATTAATTACACTGC